AAAAAAAAAAAAAAAAAAAAAATGAATTTGGAGATTCTCCTCTTCAGCGTATATTTTCTAAAAATCTGCAAGGTACTGGTGTTTTTCCTTTGTATGCTTGACACAGTTTCAAAATCTCTCTGGTCCAGGAGTCTATCTCTGACCTCTCCTTTGTTCTTGACAGTACTTGGGTATCAGGTTAGAAGCAGGTGAGACAAAGGCTAATGTTTTAGGCCTTCTCCAAACTGACCCTGTCTTCCTTTCAATGGAGAAGTAATAAGTGGGATACCTCCCCACCCACCAGCCCTGTGCCAGCTTGGGGATGGGCTGCTGGTAGCTCAGCACACTCTAGTGTTTCTCCTTGTTTCCACGCCATCATTCTTCTCTCCCCTTGTAAGGATCACCACATCTTCTTAATTGGCATATGGAGCTCCATGAAGGCTCTTAGGCTATTGTTATTGTTCAGTTGTCTGGGGGTTCAGGCATCCTAACTAATAACACTCCATTCTTTTGAGTGGAAAATATATCTAACACTTATATATGTTTAGCTAATTCAATGCTTAGAGTAAAGATAAACAATTTTTTAAATTGAGGATTAAGAGTTTTTGTCTACTTTTTAAAATATGTAATGACTTAATATAAAATATTCATATTAAAACATATTGAAAACCTAATTGACTTATCTATATCTAGGATTAACTGGGGCATACAAATGTTTTATGTGGTTGTTATTGATAAGTTGTCCTTTCAACATTTAAGTGACTTGTTTAGTTTGCACACAGAATATCAAATTGTCAGCATGGCCTAACCAGCCCATTGCAATGCTTCTGTCACTTGCTCTGCAGTTTTCTCCCTTACTTGGTCTTATAGATTAAGTGTAAGGAGAGCACATGATTTCTTGATTTTCTAACCCGTTTCTACAATGGATATTTCTAGTTGTGTGTTTATATTAAATTAGTAGAAATAGATGTTTAACTTCTGATAGCTCTGAATACTTTTTCACACATGCCACTATTAAAGGTCCAGGTTGTAATTTGTTGAAATAAAATGTACTCGTAAACCACGTAGGTCTTATTCTCTAACGTATAGCGTCTATGAAAGTATTTCTCAGTGAAAGGTTTCTTTTATTTTGTTCCCTTACAGGTAGTATAATTAGCAATGTCCTATCGTCCTTGAGGAATGTATTTGTTGGTGTGCTGGTAGGAATTGTTATGGGATTTTTTATTCAGTATTTTCCAAGTGAAGATCAGGTAAATTAAAAATAAAAATCTGCTTTGTAGAGCTTTAGTATGTTAATCAGCCTCCCACCACGGTACTGAACCACCTGGGAAACTCTTATTCTTTGTAACAAAGGTTTAGTTAGCCCGCAGTTGTGGAGGTTACGATCTTTATCGACCTGCCTCATCACCCTGTCAGTGTACCACTGCCAGAGCGGGTATCAGCGCAAAGCCAGCTATGTCATGAACCCTGGGACAAAGGAAAAGGAGGAAGGGACTGGAACTTAACGACTTGCTTAGAAGCATGCTTCCCTGATTTACAGAGATCCCACCATGCCCCTTACCACGACCCCGTATCAAACTTCTAATATAAGGACTTTGGGAGATGGTCCAACATGGGTGTAGCATAAAACTCTCTGAGACAACTTTAGACAGAACTGTGAAACATAAAATTCCCCCAATGTTGCCTCTGATGCCTACAGCATGCTTAAAACTGAGCCTAATAGTGGTTGATTCCAAGTAGTCTTAGTTAATGTCACTGTGTCTTGATCTGGTAAATTAAAATACTGAGAACAACGTATGTGACCCCCCCCTTCCTTCCACTCCACCCCCATTTCACCTAAAACAGCAGTGGATACTTGACAATTTTCTTAATCCTTTTCCCCAAAACTTTCTCCTGAACATATTTGAAACAGAGATAAGTTCCACTTTATCTGCCCATATTTTCTACTTTAAATTTGCCTCCATTCCCTTTGACAAGTGTTTTAGACCTGGGTTGTTGTTGTTGTTGGTGGTGGTGGTGGTGGTTGGTGCTGATGTTGCTGCTGCTGCTGCTGCTGCTGCTGGTGGCAGTGGCAATTTTGAGGCAAAGTCTCACCATGTAGCTGAGGCTGGTTTTGAACTCAGTGGTTGCCTTTGTCCTACCTCAGTTTGTAATTTGGTTTCTTGCATCAAAGTTATCAAATCTTTTAAATAAATAAATCTTCAAAACATTTATTTTTAACAACTGATGTTAGAGGCACTGCCTCCCTCCCTTTTCAGGCAGAGTCTGGTAAGCATTTTCCTGTTAGCATCACTGTATGGAGAGTGAAAGCCTCTCTCATATTTGATGAATTATTGCTTAGTTCTGAATCTACCGAAAGTTTTGATGCAAAATCAAACCAACATTTTGGAGACTATTATTTAATACAAATTTTACAAATATTGTAGCAAAAGGTAAAAAAAGATAGATAATGCCACATCTTGTATGTTTAATGTAAAACAACTTCTAAATGTGTATTTCTAGGTGAAAGTTACACAGAGGCGAGCCTTCCTTGTTCTGAGTATGTGTATTTCTGCTGTCTTAGGCTGTCAGTACTTTGACTTACATGGATCTGGAGGACTGGTCACACTAGTGTTGTCGTTCATGGCAGCAAAAAAATGGGCTAAAGAGAAAGTGAGTATCACTAATGTTTTTAAAGATAAAATAGCTGAATTTTGAAATATATAATGGGCATTTAGAAATCCGCCTCCATGTAGTTGGAAGATGTTCCACCTCCCCCAGGAAGCACATGGAGTGAGTAATTAGTATTAAAGAAAACCACATTGACCCATAGTAAAATGCCATTAGAAGCTGTGTTCTTATGTCAGGATTTTCTCTGAGAATTGTATGATTTGATTATATGCCTCTTATTTACTATTTTTTAAATGCTTAGTTCCATAATTTACCCATGAAAACATGTTCTAAAATTTAGAATATCTTTGTCCCAATAAAACTTTTGTTTTATTTTGTTTATATTATTATTATTTTACATTTATTTATGGGGAGGGGCATGGAGGTCAGAGGGAGGCTTATTGAAGTAAGTTGCTTATTTCCACTGTGTGTGTCCTGGTACTCGAACTCAAATTGTCAAATTTTGTGTCAGGCACCTTTATCCACTGGGACATTTTACCTGCCCAACTTACACTTTTTTCACTGATGACAAAAAATGTACAAAAAAAAGAATATGTTTATAAAAATCAAAACATACTAAATGCAGAAGATTCCTATATTCCTTACTCTCCTTAATAGTCTGCTTATTCTCCAAAATTAATCATTTTGAAAAATACTATATTTATAGATAGGTATATATATTCTCTTTTTAAAATAAAAATGTTACTAACCTGAACAGATTTCTTCATGTAGCCTTTTCATATATACAAGTATTCTGTAGGAATGGATTCATAGAAGTGGGATTTCTGGGTTTAAAAATAGTCCTTATTTTGACAATACTGCTAAATTATCACTTGGAAAGCTTTTCAGTGCTTATACTCCGCCAACACAACAGGAAACTTACTGAAAACAACTTTGAAGTCGTCGATACAAGTCTTAGGAAGTAACCTCACAAACCTCCAGAATATTTTCTTCCTGCTTGTTTACAGCCTGTCTGAATTCATTTCATGGACTGGGTTCCGAAACTGTCATTAGGCAGGCTTCCCCACTCCCTTCTGATGGGCCAGCGTGAGCTGTGTATGTTCTTGTCTCACATGCTGTGCTTCTAGCCCTACTTCTGAATATTACGAGGACTTCCCAAACTTTTTTCCTTTTTTGGAACACAGTGGCGAGATGATATTGTTTATTGTATAGATTTGTGTGTTTCCTTAACCAAATTCTGTTTGGATAAATGACATTACTCAATTGTCATAAGTTAAGTTTTAACTTTTTCCCTAAAAATAAAGTATCATCAGTTAATTAAATTTTAAAAAGGCTTTAAATTTCTGAAATGCAGTCAAATGTATGTGCACATCAACCAAAAGTCTAAAATTCCTGAAGTTCAGTTACGTTTGCATGCCATAAGAACTGAAATGTATTTCTCGCTCCTATAGGTTGGAGTCCAAAAAATTGTCGCAAACACATGGAATATTTTTCAGCCACTTCTCTTTGGCTTAGTTGGAACAGAAGTATCTGTTGAGGCTCTTGAATCGAGAACTATTGGTAAGAGCACAAAAAGCACAGGAGATGGACAACACAGGTTTTATTTTGTGTATACCATATCTCCGAGTGTCTTTAAAGAGCTTCGGAATCACACTGACCACATCTACTCTTTTCCTCTACCTCTATACGTTTCTTTGTTTTCAGTCAAAGACAGCCCAAGTGATCCAGAGAAATAGATTACAGGAAACATTAGATATCATTAGATGCTTCTATCCGCATCCCTGGAAACATGTCCCCAAAAAGGCAATTCACAGTTAAATGAATTCCATTCAAACTGTATTACATCAAATGAACTGAATGCCACATCATCAGCCTTTCTTCCCGTGGTGCTCCCACCGTCACATAATCTAGTACTGTAGAAGAACTTCCAAAAAGGCAGGGGAGATGGCTTGAGGGGTAAATTGCTAGTCATGTAATCCTTAGGACCTATATTTGATCTCAGGCACCCGTATAAAAGCAGTCTCAGCAGCACTGGCAGGCAGAGACACGAGGATCTCTGAAGCTTGTCAGTATAGTCAGTAAGCTCCAGGTCACTCACAGACCTTGTGCCAAAAAGAAGCCATTGAAAGCCCTGGCTGTTCTTCCAGAGAACTCAGGTTCAATTCCCAGCACCCACATGGGCATCTAACAACTGTCTCTAATTCCAAGATCTGACACTCACATAGACATACATGCAGGCAAAATACCAATGCAAATGAAATAAAAGTAAATAAATTATTTTGTTTCATAAAAAGAAGCCATTGAGGAAGACAGCAAACATAAACCCCTTACCTGTTTAAGTGTGCATGCACACCCAACACACCCCTATATGCATATACACATACAACACTTCATTTTTACTTTGTGTTTTTTATGATTACTATTTTTACTTAAATAGATATAATGAAGCAACAGGCGCAAAATATTTTCAGAAATTTTAGAATTCATCTCTCTAGACAAAAATACCTACCAAGCGCTTTGTTTTTTACATTTGTTTATATGTGTTGTAGGTATGTGTATTGCTACCTTGGGTTTGGCATTATCTGTTCGAATTTTAGCCACTTTTGCACTCATGTCTTTTGCTGACTTTCGTTTTAAGGAGAAAATATTTATTGCTTTATCGTGGATCCCCAAAGCTACAGTTCAGGTAAGAACATACTAAGCAATTAATAATCATTTTAGTTTTGACAAGTTTTAAAAGCTCTAAATGAGGGGCTAGAGAGATGGCTCAGTGGTTAAGAGCATTGGCTGCTTTTCCAGAGGACCTGGGTTCAATTCCCAGCACCCAACATAGCAGCTCACGGATGTCTGTAACTCCAGTCTCAGGGGATCTGGCACCTTCACACAGAGTATATACAGGCAAAACACCAATGCACATCAAATAAAGAAAGAAACACAAAAATAAAAAGGAAGGTGTCCCCCCCCCCCAAAAGAAGTTCTAAATGAAAACTACAAATTGTATCTAATGTACTTTCCTTTTGCCATGTTTGATTGATAATTACTTCTCAAACCCTAGAGCTGGGGAGGATGCTCCAGGGGAAGAGTGTTTGCTGTCCAAGCATGGAACAGGAGTCTGGATCCCTATGGCCACACAGAACAGGCTTGGCTTCAGTGCCTGTAAACCTAGGGCTGGGTGGAGGAGGGCTGGGCAGACATGTGGGAGGCCTACTGAGGCTTGCCAGCTGCAGGTCCATTGGTAATGGAATAAGTAAGGCAGAGAGTGATGAAGAGGACAGTGACATCTGGCCTCCCCAAGTGCACAAACAGGTATGCATTCATCTGTACATGTGCATACTCGTGCAGCACACACACACACACACACACACACACACACACACAAAATGCAACATTTAAAAGATTTGCTTTTAAAGCAATTTACCTGAAATTTAGAAGAGTACTTTGGCAAATAATTTCTAAATTTTATGAAAGTGTTTTTTTTTTCCTGTTTCCCTTAAGTATGAAAATAAGCCCAGGCATGGTGACACATACCTTTTTCCAGCACCTAGGAGGCAGAGGCAGGCAGATCTCTGTGAGTTCATGGCCAGCCTGGTCTATGTAGAGAATTTTAAGAGGCTACATTGATAGACCCTGACTCAAAAAAAAAGTATAAAATAAAATAAGAACATTTCATAATATGGAAATATTTTTATTTGGCTGAATGCTGTAGAAGTAAATATTATATCATTAGAGATACCTTGGTTTTTATAACTGTGGCTTTTCTCACCCTGTCACTCACTCCAACACAAATACATACATGTATTTTAATTAGGTATCTGTTTTTATGATATGTGACTATACAGGGAGGACACAGAGAGCATCTTTTGGGGGCATTTTGTTTGTTTCTTTTTCCATCTTTTCCCCCTACTATTTGACACAATACCCAGCAGGAAGAAAGTTGTCTTCATTAAAATTCCTATTGCTGTGATAAACACCGTGACCAACAGCAGCTGAGGGAAGAAAGGGTTCATTTCATCCTACACTTTAACACAGTCCATCATCAAGGGAAGTCAGCACAGGACCCCAAGGAAGGAACCTGGCAGCAGGAACTGAAGCAATAGTCATGGAGAACCTTGTTTTCCATAACTTGCTCAGTTGTTTCTTTCTTTTTCTTTCTTTCTTTTTTTTTTTTTTTTGGTTTTTTGAGACAGGGTTTCTCTGTAGCTTTGGTGCCTGTCCCAGAACTAGCTCGAACTCCCAGAGATCCGCCTGCCTCTGCTTCCCAGCGCTGGGATTAAAGGCGTGCGCCACCACCGCCCATCAGTTGCTTCTTAAACCATTCAAGACCATGGGCCGAAGGGTAGCACCTTCCACGGGGTAGCACCTCCCACAGTGGGCTGGGCCCTCCCACATCAGCTATGAATAAAGGAAATGCTGTATAGACTTGTCTACAGGCATCTGATTGAGACATTTCTCAATTGAGGTTCCTCTTCCCAGACAACTCTAACTTGTGTCAGATTGACAAAATACAAAACAAACAAATACTAGCCAGGACAGGTAAACGTGTCCTGCATAGCTACACAAATAAATGGTTGAATCAATGAAGACCTTGTAGTTTTATCCTCTTACTTTATAATAATTTCCTCCTTTTAAAAGGTGTTGCTACTTACTGACAACTGCTAACATCGATGGCAGCATAAAAACGTTGCTTTCCCGGGATTTTCCCTCCATTTTGCTGTTACACAATAGAAGCCTGTACATTTCTATGAAACAGAATTCTGTTTTAGGGTTAGAACCACAAGCCCTTAAGGTGAGATTGTTGCTCTTGAATACTGTGTTGCTTGCCTAGGCCTTTAGGGGGTTGCTTCTTTGTCTCTTGGCTCATTGAATTCCTCCTTTATATAATGATCTATGAGCATGTCTACTAAATGGTGGTGCTGTGAGGTTGGCTGAACTAATCTCTGTAAAGCTCTCAGCACAGTTTCTGGTATACATTGGCGCTCCATGAACAATAGCAGAGCTATTTTATCTTACCTTCAAGCCATATAATAACCTGTCTTTTTTGGAGAGGGGATAGTAGATCTATAAAAAGAATGTTTGTCACCTCTCCTTACTTGTGTTTTGATTTATTATTTATCATTTCCTAAAACAGAGTGAAAACAAAGCAGGTATGAAGAAAGCACCTACTACCCAAGCTGCTTTGCTCTGCTTCTTTGTCCCCTTTCCCTGGCATCCAAGCAAAGTTGTATTCTGTACAAACATCAAGAACTGAAAGACATACAGAAACTTTTTTTCTCAAACTCACGATCTTGCAAATGGTAGGCTAGTGCTCTACCGCTTACCTATACCACTAGCCAACATCTTTTTTTTATATAAGTAGAACCATGTGTTCCACATACAAGTTGGAACGAAAATTTTAAATTTAACGTTTCTCCTCATTCTTTGCCTTTTTGAGGCTGCAATAGTGTCTGTGACCCCTGAACATCATAGTCAGCTTCACCTATCATCTTGACAGAAACCTAGAGTCATCTAGGAATAGGGAATCTCAACTTAAGACTTGCCTTGGCCAGATTGACTTGTCTATGAGGCCATATCTATGAGGCATTTTCTTAATTGCTAATTGATGTAGGACTGCCTAGCCCACTGTGGGTGGTACCATCCTGGGCAGGTGGGCCTGGGCCGTATAAGAAAGGACATGAGCCAGAGAACAAGACAATAAGCAGCACCCTTCCATGGATTCAGCATCAGCTCCTGCCTCCAGGTTCCCGCCATGGCTTCTGTCAATGATGGGCATGAACTGTAAAATGAGATGGTCCTTTTCTTCCCAAGTTGCTTCTGGTCCTGATGTTTGTTCCAGCAACAGGAAGAACATGATGGCAGGAGTTGGTACCGGAAGTGTTTGGAACTTTGGGTTAGACATTGAGCACTTAGAAGACAAGAATGCTGAAAGAAATTTAGACAGTGGAGGCCCAGACTGTAAAGTTTCAGAGGGAATTATGAGAGTCCTTCAAAGACTGTGACAGAACTGTTCATATGCTGTATTGGAATTAAGAATTTGTGGAAGTGAAACTTTTTGTGCTTTATTGGGACAAAGGATGCTGGTCAGCTGGGACTGGACAATCAGCTTGATTAATGAGAGACTGTTATTATGAAGTGGAATTCTTGGAAGGAGCTCTTCAGAGTCAGCATGTATACAGTGGTGCAGAGCTGCATCTCAGGTTGGCAGCCAGCCTTGGTAAAGTTTACGAGTCTTCCAGTGATACTGGGTTTTATTGTTGTTTGGTTGGTTGGGTTTTGACTTTTCTAGACAGGGTTTCTCTCTGTAGCTTTTTGGAGTCTGTCCTGGAACTAGCTCTGTAGACCAGGCTGGCCTCAAACTCACAGAGATCTGCCTGCCTCTGTCTTCTGAGTGCTGGGATTAAAGACATGCGCCACCACTGCCTGGCTGTGAAACTGGTTGTTTCACCATGAAAGATGCAGGATTGGAGAAGTCATGGAGAGAAATTGAGGTGTGGCATCATGTGACAGGTTCTGCGTCCGCAAAGAGACCAGGAGAGGCCATTAGTAAAGGTGTAGCCTTAGTTTCAGAAGAGACCCCAGGATGTTTGAGGTGCTGGGACTGGGGGACATCAGCCAAGACAGTGGCAGTTGTGGGATGGAGAGCTCTGGAGTGCAGCTAGCCTGAGCCTACTGGGCAAGCTGTGTGTACCGTAGAGGTGAGGCCACCCAAGCCAACTAGATCCAAAAGATCAAGAGTGAGTCTGTGGTGTTGGAACAGAACGTGGATTTATACCGATGGACTTCGGTTTTGCTTTGATCTCATTGTAACTGTAGCTTGGTTCTTACCTTTTGGAATAAACAAGTATATAACATTTTTAGATTTATTTTAATTTTATGTGTGTTGGGTGTTTTTGCATTTGTGTATGTGCACCACATGCATGGCTGGTACCTGCAGAGACCAGAAGAGCGTGTTGAATCCCCTGGAATTGAAGTTAATGAGACACTGGACCTTGGAAGTGTTGAATTTTTTAAAAGGCTGTGAGACTTTAAAAATTATATTTTACTGTTGTCTCGGGGTTTCTGTCCTGCCTGGTTTCCATCCTCCCACCAGGTCCCACAGCCATTTAGCCCCCAAAGAAATCACACAGATTAATGATAAACTGATTGGCCCATTAGCTCAGGTTTCTTATTAACTCTTATAACTTATATTAACCCATTATTCTTATCTATGTTAGTCACATGGCTCAGTACGTTTTTCAGTGGGGCAATCACATCTTCTTCTGTGGTTGGGACAGGACTAGGGAGGAATGGGCTTCCTCCTTCCCAGAATTCTCCTGTTCTCCTTGCCCCACCTCTACTTCCTGCCTGGCTGCTGGCCAATCAGTGTTTATTTAAAATATAATTGACAGAATATAGACAGTAATGTTGATATGAGATGTTGGAACAAACAAGAAGGGAACATTGTGGATTAAAGTGATGTGTTTGTGTGTAAAAACTGACAAAGTGTGAAATGTCAACCTCAGCTGACAGCTGACAGGAACCAAGAATCCGCTGGGAAGAAGGCACTCCAGAATTGCCTTAACTGGATTGACTTGTGGCCATGTTTGTGGGGCATTTTCTTGATTGCTAACTGGTGTGGGAAGGCTTAACTGACCATGAGCAGTACCCTCTCTAGGCAGGTTGGCCAGTTACGTAAGAAAGGAGGCTGACTGTGAGTCAGAAAGGAAGTCAGCACGCCAAGTTCTCCCTGGTCTCTACTCCAGCTCCTGCTCCAGGCTCCTGACTGAGTTCCCGCCCTGACTTATATTTCTACCATTTTGCCTTTACTTTACAGTTCCATAGTTAATGTGTATGTGCATTTCATTCCTGAAAATTTTAAGGCAATTTCTTGCCTATATTTGTATATGTAAATCGTAAGGAAAAATAAAGACAATAATTTAAAAAAAAATTACACACACATTGTGGCTACAGCCGCAGTAGCTCATGCCTGTAATTCTAGTACTCAGGAGGTAGACATGGGCTGTACAGTGTAATCTTGTCTCAAAAACAAAAGAAAATAAGTAAATACATGATAAAAGCTAACTGGCTGAGGGTTGTGGTGGGGGCCGGGAGCACGGGCACCTTTCTAACTCTGTAGGAATTTAAAGAATGTACCTCCTCAGGGGAAAGAAGAACAGCATCTATGTTTATTATATGTTAACTCTGAATAACATTTTTCTTTTGCCCTGTGTCCTCCCTAACTGCAGGCGGTCTTAGGTCCTCTGGCTCTAGAAACAGCGAGAAGAGTTGAGGCCCCCCACCTCGAAGCATACTCAAAAGATGTGATGACGGTAGCCTTCCTAGCCATCCTGATCACAGCTCCAAATGGAGCTCTCCTCATCGGCATACTGGGACCCAAAATACTTGAACGTGGTGATATGGCAGTCCCTTTAAAAGTAGATATATCAAATTTTGAACCTTAAAAAGCTTGCCTTCGCCCACCTGCTTCATCTAATGAATAATCTCACTGACAGAAAAGAACATTACCGTGCAGAATTTTGAAGATCGTTCATAGAACCCTGAAGTCAGTAAATGCACAATTTCTATACAGGGTTTTTCTCTGATTTTTACATCTAAAGTAAACTTAATAAAAATAGTATTAAATGCGATTTTTTTAGTTTAATATTTGCCTATTTCAAGAATAAAATTAGTCAGCAAATATAGGAAAATGCAAAGTAATCCTTAAGGCTGAATTTTATGCCGTAGTGCAAAATAAGCGTAATAAAAACTAAATGAACCTAAAGAGAGAGAAAAAATGCTTTGAGTGCTGAGCTTGGCAAGATGAGAGACTAAATTTCAAATGAGGAGTGGAACTCCCATCACTTCAGCTAAAAAAAAAAAATCAGTCAGAGGCCAGGCATGGTGGCACACACTTAACTTCCTAGCACCGGAGGGACAGAAGCAGACACGTGTCTATGAGTTCGAGACAAACTTGGTGTGCACATCGAGTTCCAGGCCAGTTGGGGCTGCATAGAGAGTCCTACTAACTAGTCAGAAAAAAAAAAGAGAGCTTGGCAGGAATTAACACTCAAACTGCCTACGGGTCATCTGAAGTAGATTTAAGTCTTGGTTTAGTGCTATCTGGGTAAACAGGTGACAGACATAAGCAACACTGTTCTTATATCACTTCTATGATAACCTTGCCAGCTTTCAGTGAGACACTACCTGTCGTCTTTACTTGCAGAAATGAAATGAAATCACAAATGGCAGGTGTTAAAAGCAGTCTACAGAAAGGAAGGTTAGTGGTTGCAACCTCTATTCAAGCTGCTTGTCATTAGCAGCAGTATCTTTTTATTAATAGGAATCAGCCTTGCTAATCAAACATTGTTGCAAGCACAGTGCAACTCCAGTTGATTTCAGGATTCTTTAGGAAGAGTGGAGTAACCGCTTCTCAAAAGAGGCAACTAGATAGCTCAGTGTTTGGCAAGGGTGTTTGAATACAACCCTGAGGATGGAGTTTGGTCCCCAGATCCATATAAAGGAGAAGGCTGACACCAAGTTTCTCATGCCTTATTGCAAGGCTCCTTAAAAATTGTGCAGACTTTTAACAAAATCCCAGTGCAGAGATTAACATGAATGCAGTTCCTCTTCTCTTTGACACAGCAACAACGTGTTGAAGCGGCACAGAATGTAGAAAGAAAGACACAAAGTACAAAGGTTGCAGCGAAAATGGAAAGCAGTCAACAGTGTTACTCCTACTAAGACCAAGGTGTTTTGAGAAATGTATAGCCAGACTTAACAAAAATTTAAATTCAGATTGCTCTGGGCAAGGTAGTAGCTACAGTTGTCTCATATTTTTTTAATGCAATTTTATGGCACAACACAGGTGATCAAAGATTTCTTTATCGTTTATTAACAATCATAATCCACGCACAAGTACTAAAGGACAAATAGGGAACCTGAATCGAGTCACAAGCCACTGCTTACATTTGCCATCTCGGTCGCTCACACCCTCTTGCTCCTCGCTGGAAAGGGGGACCATCTCTTCCTGGGTCAGGGCCAGCCCCAGGGAAAACCCCATCTCTTAGACCAAAGTGCTTCTCTTAATTAGCTAGTGCATGGTGACAGAATTCCCAGAACACACAGGCTTCTTGATTCTCAGCAGCTGGTGAGCTCCATGCCAGCCACGATGCTTTCCAGGCCAGAAAGAGCCTGTCCCACACCTAAATTCCAGTACTCAAAACGCTGAAGCAGAAGTGGTGAAGATCAAACCCAGCCTGCCCTAGGAGTGTCAGGACTACCCAATAAGATGCTCTCCTCATGCCAATCAACTTTCTATTTTAAATTACATTTACTGTTATTATTATGTGGCCTTCAATTTATTACATAGACTAAGCTGACCTCAAACTAAGACATAATTCAGGCAAAACATCCATACCCATAAAAATAATAAGTGTTTAAAATATAATTTTTACCTGTGTGTGGGGGAATAATAAGTGTTCAAAAAATTATGAAACCAGGAGTGGTGGTGGATTTCTATAATCCCAGCAGTCAGGAGGATCACATGTAAAGGGCCAGCCTGGGCTACATAGTGAGTTCAAGGTAAGTGTTGGCAGGGAGCTCCAGGAACATAGCTCAGTTGGTAAAATGTTTGTCTAGTGGAGTCCAGGAGTCAATCCCAGTATCCCATAAACTGGGAATAATCAAAGATGCTTCTAACCCTAACACTTAGGAGGTGGAGGCAGGAGGATTCAAAGTCCAAAGTCATTCTCAGCCATGTGGAGAATTCAAGGCCAACCTGAGCTAGGATTTTATCACTAAACATAATTTATTTTTAAAAGTACTTTTACTGGGGCTGGAGAGATGGTTCAGCAGTTATGAACCCTTCTTGTGGCAGACCCAGGCAGACAGGCGCCACTATGATGAACAGGTAGGTACGTGGTAGAGAAAGAGGAGGAAAGAGAAGCTGAGCAGTTTGCACTCTGTGGAGAGAGTCCTGCATGGGTTTTTTCTTGTGGTATGGGCCTCAGATTAGACCTGTTATTGGTTGGTTACTCCATTATTAGGAGTCCTTGTGATGATTAGGGTCATCCTCATAGAATCCGGAGAGTTTCTACTCCATTAGGTTTCCATATTGTCTTTTTTTTAAATGTTTTTCTTATTTTTATTGAACTCTGCATTTTTTTCTGCTCCCCTCCCTGTCTCTCCCCTCCCCTTCAACCCTCTCCCAAGGTCCCCACAATCCCAATTTACTCAGGAGATCTTGTCTTTTTCTACTTCTCATGTAGATTAGATCCATGTATGTGTCTCTTAGGGTCCTCATTCTTGTTTAGGTTCTCTGGGATTGTGATTTGTGGGCTGGTTTTCTTTGCTTTATGTGTAAAAACCACTTATGTGTGAGTACATGGTGATAATTGTTTTTCTGGGTCTGGGTTACCTCACTCAAAATAATGTTTTTCTAGCTCCATCCATTTGCCTGCAAATTTTAAGATGTCGTTATTTTTTTCTGCTGTGTAGTACTCCATTGTGTAAATGTATGTTTTCCTTATCCATTCTTCGATCAAGGGTTTTAGGTTGTTTCCAGGTTCTGGCTATGACAAACAATGCTGCTATGAACATAGTTGAGCACATGTCCTTATGGCACGGTTGAGCATCCTTTGGATATATACCCCAAAGAGGTATTGCTGGGTCTTGAGGAAGGTTGTTTGCTAATTTCCTGAGAAATCGCCACACTGACATCCAAAGGGGTTGTACCAGCTAGCACTCCCACCAGCAATGCAGAAGTGTTCCCTTTACCCCACATTCTCTCCAGCATAAGTTGTCATCAGTGTTTTTGACCTTTGTCCTTCTAACAGGTGTAAGATGGAATCTCAGAGTTGTTTTGATTTGCATTTCTCTGATGACTAAAGATGTTGAGCATTTCCTTAAATGTCTTTCAGTCATTTTAGACTCCTCTGTTGAGAGTTCTCTGCTTAGGTCTGTACTCCATTTTTTTTTTTATTGGATTATTTGTTCTTTTGATGATCAGTTTTGAGTTCTTTGTATATTTTGGAGATCAGACCTCTGTCTGATGTGGGCTTGGTGAAGATCTTTTCCCATTCTGTAGGCTGTCATTTTTGTCTTTTTGACCATGTCCTTTGCTTTACAGAAGCTTTTCAATTTTAGAAGGTCCTATTTATTGTTTCTGTCAGTGTCTGTGCTACTGGGGTTATAAATAGGAAGTGGTCTCCTGTGCCAATGCGTTCAAGTGTACTTCCCACTTGCTCTTCTGTGAGGTTCAGTGTGGCTGGCTTTATGTTGAAGTCTTTGATCCATTTGGACTTGAGTTTTGTACATAATGATAGATATGGATCTGTTTTCATTCATTCTACGTGTTTATATCCAGTTATGCCAGCACCATTTGTTAAATATGCTTCTTTTTTCCATTTGATATTTTTGCTTCTTTGTCAAAAATCAGGTGTTCGAAAGTGTGTGGATTAATAGTCTTTGATTTGGTTCCATTGTTCCTCCTGTCTGTTTTTATACCAATACCAGGCTGTTTTCAGTACTTGTAGCTCTGTAGTAGAGTTTGAAATCAGGGATTGTGATGCCTCCAGAAGTTCTTTTATTGTACAGGATTGTTTTGGCTATCCTGGGCTTTTTGGTTTTCCATATGACGTTGAGTACCGTTCTTGGGAAGGACAGACCTTTTCTTAAGAATGAAAGCACACTAGGATGGCAAGAGGGCTCATGGGTGAAGATGCTTGCTTCTGAGCCCTACAACCCAAACCTGATTCCAAGAACTTTGTGGAAAGTGGGAACTGATCCCCACAGATTGTCTGACCGCCACACGTGCACCACGGCACAACCTCCCACTGCAAACCAAAGAAACAGATGAGTGGGGACAGTGTCTTTGTGTCACACTGTGGTTCATCCAGCTGCTCTTCTGTGTGTCCGTAGATTTCGGAACAATACAGACCCGGTGTGTGAACCACCAACACAGATCCTTTATTTGCGCAGCAAGAGATAATTGAGTGACAATCACTTTCATGTCATGTACAGGAGTACAATGTACTGTTTGTGCAACAATGACAGAATACAGAAGGACAGTCAACAGCTGAGAACAGCTTGGGAAAGGGTGGGCTGTTGTTCAGTGGGTCTCCACGTTAGTTTTGCAGAATTGGTACTGTTCTGGAAGGTGGCTACATAAAGTGAGCATACACTGCTATAGCGTACACTTAAAATGAGAAACAATGAATTTTATACACATTTTGCCACAATCTAAAAACCAAATAATAACTCTGTTGTTACCTCTGGCAGGCCTTGTATCCAGTGGAAGCTACCAGAGTGGCTTCAAACTCACAGAAATCCACCTGCCTCTCCTTCCTGGGGTACTAAGATTAAAGATGTGAGCCGCCACAGCCACTACAACTAATATCTTTTAAAGAGTGCTTATTCAGGGTCCGCAAGATGAGCTCGGCAGGTTAAGGTGGCTGTAGTTGTG